TATATGAAGTTCGTATTTTAAAAATTATTATGTTTTAACTGAACATTTGGATATTGTTGATTATGACTTGTTGTTTCTATGTGTTGCCTTTTCTTATGTGGGCATTCTATTTTGAAAGAGGACTTTTAGCTATGCATACTAGTGCTATTTGACAGTACTAACGTCCCTTTTACCGGGGGCGCTGCATCTTTAATGGATGCAGGTGGTTCAACAGCAGGCGGAATTGATCAGTGATAGCAGTGCACTCTATTCAGCTGATTTGGTGAGCCCCACTTCATTTCGGGGTCATGTATCTTTTGTTTCTCATGTACTGTGTTTTGAGGTATAGCCGGGGCCTTGTTGCTAGCATTTTCATATTACTCTTCGATTGTATTTAGAGGCTCCGTAGACAGGTTGTGGGTTGTGGTTGAAGATGGGAATTGAACTAGAAATGTTGGTACTTGAAAATCATGTTTTTCATTAATTCTATAAACTCGTAATTTTTTGGAAATTATGAATGAAGCTGCTAATGGGAATGAAAAGGAAGTTGTTAATAAAATCTTTTCAGTGATTGATTGATGGAGTACATCTCCTCTTTATTCATGGATGAGTTTGGGTAGAAGGAAATCTAACAGGCTTGCACAGCCGGGTTCTCTCGGTTGAGCGCCGGTCGTGCTCCCCGAGCTTGGGGCGTGACAGTACCTCATATTTCATATGCCCATAACGATAACTTCCGACCACAACAGAAGTTCATTACCAAACTCGGTACCAGTAATATACCTCATGAAACATGAAACCTTATTCCAAACCTCGCAATACTACAAATGATGAGAGAACCGTGTAAGAACTCATAACCACCCGTCGAATCAATAAGTCATGGAGTTTTCTTACTCAGCAATAACCTTTGCTAAATTCTGAGCTGATTAGTGACATTCTTCCTCAAAACATACATTATAAAAATCCAATTGTACTGATTCCATGTCCAATAATCTCATCTCACCCAGTACAAGTTGCTCGAATGATAGACCACATCAAGTGCCATCAAGAACCTCACACGATGCGATTCGTGCACCAACAAGCAACCACTTGAATATGATCGGTAATGGAAAGGAAATAAAAAGGAAATAATTAAACAATTATAATAGATACAACCATAAGAGCATAATTCTATTATGACTTGCACGAGTAGTCGGATTTTAATTTTAGAAAGTTCGGCATTGATTTGGAAGGATAATTCTCGATTCAGAAGCTTTAAGTTAGAAGAGTTGCCCAAGGTTTGATTATTGAGTAAACGACCTCGGAATCGAAATTTGAAGGCCACAATAGGCCCATATGATGATTTCGGACTTGGGCCTATGTTCGGATTGAGTTTCGGGTGGACCGGGATTGTTTCGGTGCTTATTGTTGAAAGTTGGCATTTTAAAAGTTTTAGAATTTCCTAAGTTTGATATGAAGTGGACTTTGGTGTTACTGATGTTCGTTTGCGATTTCGATCCTTGGAATAAGTTTGTATTGTGATTTGTGACTTGTACGCAAAATTTGGTGACATTCTGGAATGTTTAAGTATGATTCGGACGCGTTCGTCGAAGTTTGAAGGTATGGGAGTTAAAAGAAGGATTTTGATTGTTGAGTCATGATTTTGGTGTTATTCATGGCATTTTGAGCCATCGGATAAGTTTAGAAAAGGTATTGGGACTTGTTGGTATGATTGGATAGGGTCCCGAGGGTCTCAGGTGTGTTTCGGGATGGTTTCGGGCCAAGTTTGGATCACTTGTTGTTGCTGGTTGCTATTTCTGGTTTTGTTCTTTGCGAACATGGAGAGAAGCTCGCGTTCGCAAAGAAGGATTTGAGATCGAAGAATGTTTGTTCATTGCGTTCGTGGTGGAGGTCTCGCGTTCGCAAAGGTTTGGGGTAGGGGTGCTCCGCGTTCGCAACGATGGCCTTTTCACATTCACGAAAGAGAAGTTGGGCCTGGAGACTTAGCCTTTGCGTTCGCGAAGGCGTGGACGCGCTCGTGATGGGGAAGCTGGTGAAGCACCGCATTCATGAGCCTTGTCTCGCGTTCGCGAAGCAGGATTTTGGAGAAGGATCTCGAAGTGCTTCGCGAACGTGAGGGACATGCCGCATTCGCGATAAAGGGTCGCCTCGGCACTGTATAAGTTTGCAAAAGCGGGTTTTGGTTCATTTTATATCAATTCTTCCATGGGAGCCAGTTTTGGGGGCGAATTTGGAGTGCCTTTTTCATCATCTATCATGTGGCAAGTGATTCCTACCCATTGTGCGTTGATTATATATGGACTTTAACATGAAAAATGGTAGAAATTATGGAATTTTTGAAGAAGACATAGAATTTGTATTTTTGAATTTTGACCACTAAATTGGACATGGAATTTGGAATAAATTATATATTTGAGTTTGTGGTGCTATGGGTAATGTTTATCTTCAAATATTTTCAGAATTCGGGCATGTAGGCCCGGGGGTTGACTTTGTTGACTTTTCGAGCGGAGTTAGAAATTATTAAATTACGAGTATTGGAGTATATTTTTATTGGTTTGCACGTTGTTGGATTAGTTTCGGATCGTTTCGCATTGGTTAGAGGTGTTAGAGAGGCGTTTGAGCCGGTTATCGGATTTCGGAGAGAGGTAAGTCTCCTGTCTAACCTCGTGAGGGAAACACTATCTCGTAGATGTTAAATTGGTTTTTTCTACTAGTTGTGGGTGCTACGTATGCACGAGGTAAAGAGAGTCCATACGTAGCTAAAATCATGTTTATGTACGGGTAGACTTGGGACATTTTCATGCAATATTTGTATCATTTGAACTCAACTTATTAGTTTGATTACTTAAATTTATAACTAATTTGATTAAGGATTATGTTAGGCCAAGCTTCATTACCTTGAGTTTTGACGGAATACTTGATTGCTGGTAAAAATTATGCTTTTTTTATGTGCCAACACTTGTATTGTAATTGTTTCACCCATAGTTTAAAGAGTTTCTCTATTCCTGTGGATCGGTCTGTATGCCTCGGTAGTGTTATGAATAGAAATATGAGATGCATCCATGGATCAGGCCGTACGACCTCGGCATAATTCGTGCGTAATATTATTAGGAGTCCGTATATTCATGAGATTTCCCGTTGTGTTTTGAGACTTGGGTATTTACATGATATTTGTTATTTATTTGAGATAGCACATGATATTTGAGGAATTCATAATGTCATTATGTTGGAGGATTATATTAGTTACGGTTTCTTACCTCGTTATTACCGTAGTGTTTCATATCTATTTATAATTTTGTATTGATTTATTGGACCACTAGTAAGTGTCGATGTCGACCCCTCGTCACTACCTCTTCGGAGTTAGGCTAGATACTTACTGGGTGCGCATTAATTTACGTACTCATGCTACACTTCTGCATTGATTGTGCACGTAGTTTTGGTGGTCATTTGGGCGCATGGGCACAACTGTATGCTGAGCTGCATTCCATGTTACAATTCACAACACACGAAGTCTCCATCATATTCATTTATTTTGTCCTGTCTATTTTACATTCTAGACGGATGTTGTATTAGTATTATACTTTCTAGTAGACGCTCATACACTTGTGACACCTGGTTTTGGAAATTTATAGTAGATGTTAATGGTATTTATCTAGTATTGTCACCTTTCCCTTTTATATTATAATAATGCTTTACATCTCCATGTTTTTCTACGCCTAGTTTGCTTACTTAATAAAACCCATAATTTCAAAAATAATAAAATGAATAATTAAGTTAATAGTTCACTATTGGCTTGCCGAACGGCGATATTGGGTGCCATCACGAACTATAGCGGGAATTGGGTTGTGATAGTTTGGTATCAGAGCACTAGGTTCACTTAGGTCTTGCCAGTCATGAGCAATTCTAGTAGAGTATTGCGGATCAGTACTGAGACGTCTGTACTTATCTTCGAGAGGCTACGGGACTGTTAGGAGAACTTCCCTTTCTTGATTCCTTATCGTGCGAGTTGGTTTTGTTGAGGCCTATGCCTTCAGTTCCTTCCTACTCATTCATACACGATGTCGAGCATTCAATACTAGTTAGGCACTGACGAGTTATGAAGGTGCTATGTGGATGTTTTTCTCTGCGTATATGGGTAGACTATTCTCGTCACCTTGCGTAGGGTGTGTTTTGTCGTTTTAGCCCGGTTAGTATTGCCTATGGTTTTGAGGCTATGCACAGTGTATGGTGATGTTCATGCATTGTTATCGCGCGGTGCTGGTGTAAATGGTAGGGTGCTTATTTATGTGTCGCGGTAGTGAATGACTCGAGAGGAGGATTATTCAGGTCATGGGTTAGAGATTCGGTATTTAATTCCAGCAGAGGAGAGGCAATTAGACTATGGATGTTCAGGCTTTGGTTGACGGAGTAGCAAAATTGAATATTTTCGAACTTGGTGGAATTCTTGTTTGTGACGTGGTGTCATCGTCCTTTTTTAAATGCATTAAGTCTCGTCGGTGTGATGGTCTTCATTGGGTTGCCTTCCGGGCAAGGTGCTATAAAGAGGTACCTACGAGGCGGTTATCAAGGATGGTGGTGTATTGCCACTTCAGGGTCGACTCAGTGTTTCTAGTGTTGATGGCCAAAGGGAGATGATCCTTAAGGAGGCTTAGAGTTGAGGGCAGTCTATTTGTTTGGATGCTACGGAGATGGATAGTGATTTGGGGTAGTATGATTTGTGGCGGATGATGAGAAGGGACATGGTAGGATATGTCTCGCGGTGGTTGAACTGCTAGCAGGTCAAGTACGAACAACAAAGATGGAGTAGTCTACTTAGGAGGACGGTTTAACCCAATCGCTCTGAACTTTCTATCAAACATGGGGCATGTAATGCGATGTAAGTTTGGATACCCTGGGGAAGATGGCACGACTGCCATGAAGTTGAGTGTGCAATTAGGAATGTTAATTCGGGATGTGTGATGATTAGTACCACAAGAGCTTGTGAGAAATTTGGTTGGGTAATAGTGTGGGATCATGGTAGCTAGGAGAAGTTATTGTGGGTCAATGGAGTTGTGAGTGTGCCTTAAAGCTAAGTGGGGGAGCCCACCGTCTATGATTGGGTCACGTAGTTATGTGCCTTTATGTAAGGCCCCGTAAAAAATTTCACCTAGAACCCGGGGTTTCGTGATCCCAAAGTAGACTTATGTGTTGATGATTGTAGAGATTCTTCACGACGAGCAAGCTCGCCGCGGTACGGACTTTTTGGGTTGAACAGTGCATTG